CCTCTGGAATAATGGGTCCCTGCATCCTGAAGGTTAGCTCACTTGAAGTACCTTTGTTGACAAAGTTTTGCCTTATGATGTAACATTTCACCCAACTGAAGGTTACAAAGTATTGAACAGGCATGAGAGTTGTAATAGTATATAGATACTCCGATCTTAAAACATAAAACCAGAATTTTGAACTTTTCTATATATAATTGTTTTGGGAATTAAAACCACTTCTATATTACAATAAAACATATTCCTGTGATCCATTGGGATTCACACTCAACTTGAAGATTTACAGAAAGTGAGAAACATATTATTGGGGGGATTTGGGTGAAGAAATGGTGAACTGAAGACAGCTCTGATTTTAGCAACCATAGCAGATAACTGCAGTGGAATGAGGACCTAGAGAGTAGAATAGATATTTGTAATTTCTCTCCAGACAAGGAGATAACTTGAGATCACCCACAAGTGGTCCAGACAGTTGCTCCTCATGAGGAGATTGCCATGAGCTGTTTCCAGTGAGTTTAGAGCTCTGAGAGACAAGGGAATGCCATTTTTTCTCAAACCATAGAGTGCCTTTTCAAAGGACCCTGAATTTGCATACTGCCTTCTCTAATCACTTTTAGAAATTATTTGTAAATTGCTTTTCAATTCTTAGGGACTTTGAATTGACAAGCACTGGATAAATTTTCTTCAATCCTTAGCAAAATAAATTTTAAATACAATTACAAGGACTTATTTTCTTCTGGATTGAATAGTAAAAGAGTAATTAAAATTTTGGTTTTAGAAAGTTACAAACAGATTAAGAATCCACTTGGATTTAAAATAAGATCTGAAACCTTCCAATAGGAAAATGCTGTTGTTTTAAATTCTTTAAAAAAAATATAGGATGAACGTTGGATACTGGAGGGAACCAGAAAGAAATAGAGATTACAATTAAAGGAGAACAACACTTAAAGTGGAGTTATAAATACAGAATACTTTAGAAGAGCAAAATACCTTAACATTAGACATATTAAAGGGTATTTATGAACAATAATGTACAAATTAATTTTAGGAGTGTCTGGCATTATGGATAGGCTATGTTTAAAAGATGTAATGGAAGAGGAACTAGTTCTACTGGAAAGACTGAGACTGATCTGAAAGTAGGTTTAAAAATGATAGGCTACAAGAATGATTTGGAAAAAGATGCTACATTCAATATGTCATAATAATTGAAAAGAACACACAAATAACAAATCAAAAGGGTGACCTGCATAACTTTCCTATACTGGATTTACAAAAGCAACTTTCTAAATAATTTTGTGAGAAGAAAAAATGAAAAGAAATCAAGATCTACAACATTATTTGAAGGATTTAAAGATCAAGATTGTAAAAAGTAAAAGGAAGGAATATAAAGTTGGTTTAGTTGATCAAGATTAAAATAATACATTGCTATCTCTAATAACCCTTAATGAGTTTTGCTAACCAGGACTGAATGATGAAGCTTTAATGATTTGTTTATAGATAAGAAATGAGATATGAAAAGAAAAGATAATTTGTTGTATTTTAAAAGAAGATGACAAATTACTAAAACTGTTTATACTTATGATGATGAGGGAGGAAGTCATTTCTTTATAATTTCTTTTCTTTTTCTTTACTATATTCTTTTTTTGTTTCTTTTTTCTTCTCTTTTGCATTTTCTATTTTTTTTCTTTTTTTAAAGTTTGTGTTAGTTTTTCATTAAGTGCAATGTTTAATAAAATTATTATAAAAATTAATTGCCCTGGGAACTCATTCAGCTCAATTATAGTCCAAGAGGTTTGGGAGTAAGGAATAAAATAACCTAACCTAATTCAGTGATGTGTTAGGGCAGTGGTTCTCAACCTTTTTATACGGCGACCCCGGTATTAAGCAGGCGGCGCGCATGCGCGGTGCCGCCCCCATGCGCCGCTCCTGTGCGCTGCCCCTGCACGGCGGCGCCCCATGCACCGCCCCGCGCGGTGCGCCTGCACGCTGCCGCCCCGTGTGGTGCCCCTGTGCGGCACGCATGCACGGCGCCCCCATGCGTCATGGCGCCCCATGTGCGCGCATGCGCAGTGGCGCCCCATGCGCCACCCCAGGAAAAAAATGGCGGATCGCGTTGTTTGGTGACCCCCGTGAAATGGTCATTCGATCCCAAATGGGGTCGCGACCCACAGGCTGAGAACCGCTGTGTTAGGGTGTTCCTGTTTTTGTCATAAATGGTTATTAACTTTGTAATGTTTGAATGAACAAAATAAATAACACATTTTTTAAAAACATAACAACAGAGTAATTTCTGTATTATGGCAGCTTTTCTTTTAGTAAGCAAGGAAAGTTGCTTAATTCTAAACTGACCAGAGAAGTCAGGCAGACAGCTTAGCTGTCTACTCATAGTTTAAACATTTAAACAGAATGATAGCAGAATTAGTCATGCTGAAAAGGGATTAATCAGCTAAACACTAAGTAAACAATGATGTAAACCTCTGAGGATTTTAAGGCCAAATTTATGAGTTGTCCTTTTCTTCAGAATATCTAGATCGGGGAACCACAAGCAGGTGTCTGAGTTTTGCATTACACAACAGCACCATGATGGGAGGGGGGCACCAAAATAAAATTTAAAAATTAATATTTCATTCCAAACCCACCTGTATCTGCTCATGTACTTCAGTTTTCCTCCTTCCAAAAGGAGTATATCAATTCAGAAAATTCATACATATTGTCTGTTAACATCTTCTAGTGCACATATTGTGGCAGTTTTAGGAAATTCAGCCTAACAGATATGAGCTGTGCTGAATCCTTTCCTTTTCTTTTTTTGCCTGGGGCACCACAAAGCCTTTTTTGCACAAAGGAGTCTTATAAATCAAATAACCTACCAGTAGAAAGCCATTGTGAGCTGGATGTTCTTTCCTATTTTTGTTATTTCACTTGGCAAATCAGGGGTAGGGAACTATGGCTCCTTTTATGACTTGTGGACTTCAACTCCCAGAATTCCTAAGCCAGAATTCTCTATCTCAGTTGGACATGTTTTCACTGGTAGAGTCAAACCCATATTAGAATATCCCAGATTGCTGTTTGTTTTATGAATCCAGAACCCAACATGGCTGTTTTGAAGATCAGAAAAGATGGGCTGGCTCAAGAATTCTGGGAGTTGAAGTCCATAAGTCATAAAAGGGCCATAGTTCCCCATCTCTGTGGTAAATGGTCATCTATTTTATCTACCAGGAGCAGAAAGAACTGCTTCTCCAGATAGGGGAAGATTCATTGTTTAAAGCAGGAGGAGTTTCTACTACTGCTACTCATACAACTGCTATCCCCACCTCCACCTCCACCTGCCAGTCTTTTCTCAGTAATAGCACCCCCATTATCTACTCTCAAGACTACCTTCCCTTGCAAGGTCTGGGGAAAGAGGAAGTCCTCAAAGCAATCTAGGGTGGTCAACAGGGGATAAGCCAGTCAGAAGAGGCCTGTCCGATAGACCTAATCATGTGCTGGTAGTGCATTGGGAAGCAGAAAGGGATGGTGATGGTAACAATAAACTCTCTATCTCAGTTGGTCATGTGTTCACTGGTGGAGTCAAACCCATATTAGAATATCCCAGGTTGCTATGAATCCAGAACCCAACATGGCTGTTTTGAAGATCAGAAAAGAATTAATACATATAACATTTTTTTTATATACCAGGATACCCAACCTTGACAAATTTAAGAGTTGTGGAGTTCAACTCCGGGAAGTTGAAGTTCCCAAATCTTAAAGTTGTCAAGGTTGAACCCCCACACATATACCATTTCTCAGTATGAAAATTTTCTCCTAATACAGGTACCACATCTTCTATGAAATTTACATTTTTATCATGGCAAGAACTGTTTCATTTTCCAGCTAACCAAGAAAATGGGAATAGCTATGCAAACACATCTGTAGGCAAATACATAACTTGTCTAAATATAGGCAGCAAACTTCTTCAGACTTGCTTTGAAAATGGTGATCTGCTGAAATTGTTAGAAGATAAACTAATGGTTGTAAATCACACATCACATAGAAAATATTCCTTTGTTCTTGTTCTATGTGGAACAAACAGTTCAGATCTGGACCTCAAGATAGCATATCTTGATTTTTTAAAAATCATAATCTGACAACAGATTAGAAAAAGCTTAAAATATTCTAATAAACATTCTTTAAGCAAATTGAAGATTTTTTTTCAGCCTAATACTTCCACTTTAGCAGAGTTTTTAAAAATTAAAACACATTTTCTTATTTAATAATTTAATAAATCAGGAGAAAATAATTAGCATCTGTATTTTTTAAAAAATAATATAAATAAATTGCAAGTTTAAATGCCAGTGTGTTTCCATTCTGCAACATTCCTTGACAAAAAATGCTTTTTGTATGATGAGAGAGTAGACTGTAATTCAACCAATAAATGAATTATAAGTTTGTTTCTCCCTTTGCTAAATCCATGGATATAAAAGTTTTGCTTATGTGAGGAATTCACATCTACTCTACTTAAACATTTGGAAAGAGCATCAGGGTTATTACAAAGGACAGAAGAATATTTTTTCAATGTTGATATCTTGAGGTAGGATATATAAATTAGAACAGAGCATATAGTCATGAGTTCTATCTTTAAAATCTGTCTCAAGATAGAGCTGCAGACTGAATGCATTAGTGATTCATGATGTTATAGATATATAGTAAGATTACACCAACCATTCAGTAAAGTAATTATTGTTCCCTTCCCAATTCTGTTGACATAATTGATGCAATCTTGTTTTCCAGTTGGATTAGATCAACCAGATGCAAAAACGAAGGATTAAGTTCTTAAATTCAGTTTTCTTTATAATTTAAATGTTATTGATAGCTTTTCTGTGCATAGTTTGCTCTGGATCTTTGCCATCTGCTAACTTTTAAAATATGCATAATTGTCTTATTTGGGGATTTTTTTTTCTTCATACTAAATGAATCAGCAATTAGGAACAGAAATCTACATTTGATGGAAGAAAGGGAATAGATTGTGGGGTCAAAATAGCAATTTTTTATCCAAAACAGATCTGAGAGCAGATAAAGTACATTTTTAAAAATGCATTACAGTTAACCTGAAAAGAAACAATAAACTAAACAATTGTGTCAATTGAAATAAAGTTACTATGGAATGACATCATTTCAAAGTTTAACATTTATATTTCTTCAGTTATTTGTTCCACCATCTTCTGAAGAATTATATGCACTTGAGAATGGCTCTCCTAGCCATTCTTTTTTGCAACATGAAGGAGAAAAAAAAGAAAAATATTTTACAAATTAAGTTTTATAATTCTGCAGCTTTTCCTTAAATTCTAATGAAACTGACAGGACGAGTCTTGTAATTTCATGGGCACTTCCAGAAGATGCTGTTGGAAATGTTCTTCTGGATGTTGTACCATTCTCAATTTCCATGTTTTCCCCCTTATATAAAATATCTCCATGAAACTATTGATCAAGGCAATGTAGAGTTTTAGAGTTGTGTTCAGCATAGACATGTTAAAGTAGTACTAGTCAACAGTAAATAAATTGTATAAAAACTAACAAATTGAAATGTAATCCACAGAATAGTAACAGACAGCTACTGGGTGGCTCCAGAGAAATGGAATTCATTCTGTTTTGAAGGATTCCTGAAAAATAAAATCCAAAGTTAAAACATACTCATAGATCCATTACTGTTGTTATAACTTCAAGTGACCTCTGTAAGTAGTCCTTACTAGTTTAGTATGGTAATCCCCGTTTAGAAATGTATAATTTGACTCATGCTCTGGTAATCCTCTTGTTTTTACTACTGTAATAATGCCTTCTACATGGGAAAAAAAATGTGGCAAAATTTTAATTAGAATTAAATATTCTGAATGGCTTTCACTAGCTCTTAGTTCATAAGTCAGATTCAAAATATTGGTTTTGAGTTATATAGGTGTTTATGACATAAGATCTGAGGACCTATGGTACATTTCTTCCCTAGGTATCAACACATGTCCTAAATTCCTTAATTGAAGTCCTGCTCCAAATTTCTTCCCATTCTGGCACTGCAAGGGTGAATGCTAGTGCCAAAGTCTTCTTGATCATAGTGTCCCAAATACAGATTTATTTTCCAAAATGAAATTTGATTAGCTGCAGTCTTAGCTATTGTAAAGTGACTAACTACGTCCCCTCCAAAGGAATTCACTTGCTTGTGCGTCTGCATGTCTCTTTGTCTTCCAGCTGAGCTTAAGTGCCACTCTACTGCTGTTGCTCTCTGTCAAAGGTTGGTGTATTCAGACATATTTTATTTTACCAAAGAGAAAAGGAAACCTTTGGTTAAAGTAACTAGACTCTTTCTCCCAACATCTTTGTTTAACAAAGGAAGTGAAGAGATAATGAAGATAATGGAAAGAAAGTAGCTTAAGATACCTGTGTGATTACATCCCAATCAATGGACAAATGAGTCAATATTACCTGGGTTGTTGGGGCAGTTTTTACAACTGAGGATAATATATTTTGGGGTAGGAAAGGTTTCATCCCACAGATTTTCCCATTTTCATTTTCTGGTTAGGCAGTTCCTTTAAAAATGTTACATTTATTTCCAGATTTCCACTAGTATTTTTCATTTTTTTCAATTCAAAATGGAAATTTTATCATTGATTTTCAACTATTACATGCGACTCTGGAGGATGCAAAAAGACGGTTCTGGGGCACTGATGTATAGCCTGGGAAAATGTGGGACTTAAAATCCACACATCTTAAAGTTGTTGGGTTGACAGGCAGACCAATTTTACTGTAAATGTTATCGGAGGTAAAACTTGCGCAATAGGCTAAAATGCGTCTGAAGACAGCCGATTATCAACAGAAAAAAGAAAGTTTTTAACAGTTTGCAGTAAAGGAGATACCATGCCAGACAACTCTTCCCTTTGGGCGCCATCGCGGCTCCTCCTTTTCCGCGAATCTCCCGGCGGAGGCAGCGGCGTGGCCCCATTTAGCGTTGATTAGCCCGGAGTGTTTCGTGATTATAGACACCGGATTCTCTTCATTGTTGTTTCAGGTCGTTTGGGTGCTTAGTCTAATAAAAACATTCCATAAAAAACGCACAAGAGTTTTTTCCCCTTTTTAATTCCTATTGAAAACGAAGAGGTTCCAAGCAGGTAGAGACACAGGTCTAACCTGCCAACTGGCGCCCGCGACTCTCGGTGTTCGCGGCTCCCCTCGGGCTCTTCTGCGCGGCGCTCGCCAGCCCACCGCCGGGCGAAACTTCTGCCTTCCCCGCCCCTCGCAGGCTCAAAGGGCACCTGGCTGGCGTGAAGGGGCGAGGCTCCGCCTCCGCCGCCCTCTCCTTTTTCAGGCTGCAGTGAAACTCCGGTGAAACTCCCGGGCGCTGACAAGGGAAGAGGTGGAAAGTTCTTGTGTCGCAGCGATCCAGAGAAGCCCTGCTGCGGATATGGGGCGCCTCTGCCAGCCTTGGCTGGGGGTCCTGGTCTTGGGAGGAACGCTGGCCGTCGCCTCTGCTACAGGTGCGAAGTGTGAGCTGCGCTCGGGACGTTTTCGCCCTCTTCCGTCTTCTTTTCCATCGAAGCGGGGGGGGGGGGTTCCGCGTTTCGGGACCGCTGGGGAGATCGGCTGTTCTGGGAACATGCTGGACGTGCCCCCCCCCCAAGGGGCTGCTGGATGCGGGGTGGGTGTTTGGTCTCTCAACAAAATGGCTACCGTGAGGATAGGACCAGGGACAAAAACCTGTTTTATCAGAATGGCTACCTGCTCTTTCCCTTCTGCTCCTACTCCCGATTCCTAACCCACGGCGAGCTTTTTCTTACTTTTGCTGATCCTGATGCTTTTGGGGTCAGCAGGAGGACAGCTTAGCGAAGATCACCCTTTTTCTTTTGTGAGAAAGGTTAGGGGCCTTTCTTGGGAATAAGATGCTGGATCTGGTGGTGGGTCCCAGCTTCGTTCCCCATTTCCTTTTTCAAAAAGGAAAATGCCAGATAGGATAGGAAACCTGAGGTGTACGGCTGTGCTCTGGGCACCACATTGGGAATTTAGTTTGAGATTCTAGGCAGTAGAAAAGGTTATTTTGTAATCAAAACAGGAGTAACTTCATTGGAGCTTAACTTGCTGTAGTGATGTTATAATTCACTGAAGCTTTTTTGTTTTTCTTCTTGATAAATTGAAGCTTAACCTGATGACACAACCTAGTTCCTAATAGAAACAGGTTCTTTAGAGCAGAAGCAAAAGTTTGTTTTTTTAATCTCTAGTTACAAAGGCTAAGAGCAGAAGTTCAGGAAACTTTTTCTGCCTTGATTGCTTCACTTGAGAAGTCTCAGCTCAGTGCTTGAAAAGCTGACTTGTAGCAAACTAATACCTCTTGTACTTTGATTGTTAGTGAAAAGATCTAAAGAGTTTATTATTTCAAAAAGCCACTATTTTTTTTTCTTACAAGCTTAGGTTGAACATTGTTGTTTTCTTGTTGCTTATATACTTAACTATGGTAGCTCAGGACAGCACTATCTGTTTTCCAGTAATTGGTTGTTGTAACATGTGAATAAATGTTCAGAATAGCATAAGAAGTCATTCTTATAAAGCTATCTTGGCTTATGATATAATTTTGCAATTTGATTAGTTGGGCAGTGGTGCATTCTTTTGGAGTTGGAAGAAGAAGAAGAATATATCTGTGGTTAAACTGATATTTCTAAGTCTCCATGATTTGGGAGCGTTCCTAAAGGATCAGTGCAATTCATATGTAATAACTTTATCAATGAAGGCAGTATTTGCAGTTTAATTTTCAGTATTACCCTCGTTAACTTGCATGTATATGAAATGGTGAAAAAGGATGAAGAGCTAGGAATTCTGAGGTATTATTCTACAGAGCAAAATAACATGGAATGTATGTGGTGATCCCAAATTGTTCAACATGAGAAGAACTTAAAATGCCCTCTACTTAAATCAGTGGTTCTCAACCTTTCTAATGCCGTGACCCCATAATACAGTTCCCCATGTTGTGGTGACCCCCAACCACTTATACATCACCAGGTGCCAGGAGTGTGGCCAAAGAAAAGGGGGGGAAAATGGTGGACAGCCTTGTTTGGTGACCCCCATGAAATGGTCGTTTGACCCCAAATGGGGTCCCGACCCACAGGTTGAGAACCACTGACTTAAATAAAGAAGATGCATCTTTGCCTAATAAGGATTCCCTCTCTGTCTATGACAAAGTACATACTTTCTACATAAGGGAAATAGTTCCTGTTTTTCCATCCAAGATAGTTTCAAGGGGGTACTGTACAAAAAAAATGACCTTTTCCAGTGAACGCTGAACTGGACTGAGTTTGCATAAATTAATGGATGAACTTTTGATCCAGTTAATACTAATGGCCTCCCACACAACAACATGAATATGATATAAATTGCATAGTCAAATAAGTTAGTCCTGAGTATGCTAGAGTAAAATGAGCTGGTGATGTTGAGTGTGTGGGAATTGGCAGGCAAGAATATTGTGCCTATTTCTCAATCTCTTGCACAAGAATAGTCGAAATTACATGTTATGAATCAATACACAATTCTCAATGCCGTATTTATGCTACAATACCAATTAACAGATTTATTGTGTTTTATTAATCTAGGTGAAATGTTAATATATTGTATATTGCTAGTCCACATAGGATATGCCATATGCTAAATAAATAAACCAGTTGACAGAGTAGTGGAATGGGACATTTCTAAGAAAAGAAAAATGTTCTTTCCTATTTACTTTCTAGACCCTTAACATAAAAATAAACCTAACGGGGTTGGAAGTAAAACTAGTTGTAAATTATTAAATATGCATGTTATTTATTGAGCAAAAATGAGCTTTTAAAGGGTGAGATATATATCCATGTGAGTATATTGAGGAACTTATTTGAAAAAAAAATTAAAAAGACGGGCTGCATATATTTTAAAAAGATGGGGGAGGGCTGTATGTGTTCTGGCTAACTGGCCAGCTCACATTAGCTGGGCAAAGTGGGAATTTGGTGTATGCATTTGTTCTAATAATGTGTATTCAGGCTTAAACTGTGATCTGTCTGAGGTGAGACCCTGCAATTTAGACTGCAGGAATTGCATCTTTTTCCCTTTATATAAAGCAACCATGTTAGGGACAATCCTAGAACGCTTCTCATTGATATGCAACATCTACCCTATCTTGTTGCCCCCCAGATGTTTTGATTAAAGCCAATTGAAAACTCCCTTGCTTGCATTAAATCCTCTACAATGGCAACAAATTTATTTCTTAAAAAAGGAAATTGCGTTTTCAAATTTGCTATTCGGGCCAGACTAGATATGATTTATCTATAACATTGGATTTAGACGTTAATGTTAAAAAGTGAGAACAGTTGCAGAGCTGATCGTTCCTTTTTGTCCCTCCTTTTTTGGCTCCATCCAGGATATTGAAATGTAATCTGCAGCAGGTTACATGTGTTCCTGGAGCAGGCAATGTTCAGAAATAAGAGTAAAGGGGAAAGTAGTTATGTTAAGGTATACATTTAATGCCCTTATTTCATAAACGTCCTAATCCTCCCTATTCTGAACTGATCTTTTTCCTTTTTTAGAGTTTTACAGCACCTATTTCACCCCTCAAAATCTGACCAATGTTGTGACTTTTATGACATTGATTAGCTACATCCCTGCACCTGTGTCGCCCCTTTTCCAGCTATAAGAAAATCATTTTAAAATGTGACAAAAATATTTTGCTATACCAGTAATCCTCAACTTACGATCACAATTGGCACTGGAATATTTATTGGTTGCTGAGCAAAGTGTTTGTTAAACAAGCTGCATGACTGTTTCACTCAGTGACTGCAATCCTGGCATTCCGGGTTGTAATTGTTAAGCAATCTCAAGGGTCATTAAGCAGATGGAGTCCCAGGGAAGATGCGGTCTCAGAGGTTGGGTAAGAACAGGGAATTGAAAATCCTCCTTCCCCAAATCCGAGCAGGATTTTCAGACCCTGAGTGAAGAGACACTCATGCACAACCTGTGCCAAGCATTTACCTCTCTGTTGGATTTGGGGTCCCTCTCATCTGTGGGAGCTGGCTGAAAGAGCTGCCTGCTGAAGACTTTTGGTTCCCTTCTGTGCATGGAAGGGAACTCCTTTGGTGGGGTGCAGGAACAGCTTCCGAATTTCAGCTCCATTTTGCACCCCACTGAAGAAGTTCAGCTCCCCTCAGTGAACAATTCTTTCAGCCAGTTGTAAGTTGAGGACTACCTGCAGAGTTTTTCTTACTGGAATCAAGTTAGCCTGTGTACTTTCCTCAGTTCAACAGTATTTTTATCCAAAGCAAATGAATTATGATACCAATTATGTATTTATAACTTGTTACTTCATTATATAGGCTGTGTGGGAGACTGTTAATGGCCAGGTAACTTAACATATTTGCTTTGTTTCTTTTTTAGTGTCAAACCAAACTGGCATTTCAAAAGGAGGAAGAAGCTTTATTGGTCATAAAAGCAATTCAACAAATAAAGATGCATACAACATAGACGACTTTGCAATCAAAATCCTTACAGGGAAACTGACTACAATTTTCCTTCCTGTGATCTACATTATAGTCTTCATCATTGGCTTGCCAAGCAATGTCTTGGCTCTGTGGGTTTTCTTCTTCAGAACAAAGAAGAAGCATCCTGCGGTGATCTATATGGCTAATTTGGCTCTGGCAGATCTCCTTTTCGTAATCTGGTTCCCTCTGAAAATTGCTTACCATATTAATGGCAACAACTGGATCTATGGGGAAGTCCTGTGCAAAATACTTGTTGGGTTCTTTTATGGAAACATGTACTGCTCCATTCTTTTTATGACATGCCTCAGCGTGCAAAGGTATTGGGTAATTGCAAACCCCATACTGCACTCAAGAAAGAATTCAGAAATTGCTATGAAAGTTTCAGCTGCAGTATGGATAGTGCTACTGCTTGGCACAGTGCCACTATATCTTATTAACCAAACTGTTTATATTTCTAACCTTAACATCACCACATGTCATGATGTCTTACCTCAGTCTGTGTTGGCCAGTGACATGTTTAACTACTTCCTTTCCCTGGCTATTGGGGTCTTCTTATTCCCAGCTATTCTCACAACTGGAGCTTACATTCTCATGATAAAGACTCTTAATGCTTCCATTAGAGATGTAACCATTGGAAAGAAAAGGAGAAGAGCCATCAAGCTTATCATTACAGTGCTTTCTATGTACTTGATCTGTTTTGTGCCTAGCAATATTCTGCTGGTGGTCCATTATGCCCAGATCAAAACCAGTGGTTT